TAAGGACATCACAGATGTCTCTGTACCATCCTCTCCGGTTCCTTGGGCTGCTAGGAACCCCTCATCCCTTCCCAGACAACCAGGAACTAAATTTCAAAGAGGTAATTCAAATCCCTGATTACAGAAAGACATCAAGTGGGCTCACCACGGGGTGATGTTTCAGCCATCTCCACCTCCATAAGGCAACTTTTCTATTTGACCACACTTATCACTTCTTTCGAGGCTTAGATGGGAATTTTGTTGTTGTCTTGGTTTCTGGTGAACAGGTAATGCTGCACAGAGAAAAAATACAAACAGCACTAGGGGCTGACAGTGAAAAGCAAGTCTCCCCCAGCACCCCTCTCCTCCCTCTCCTTCCTTTCCCCAAGTCCCCTCTGTGCTGTATTCTTCTCTACATAAGGGCATGATGGCCCATCTTCCTGCATCACCCCACAAATGGCAGCACGGTGGATTCATTGTTCTCCATTCTGTTTCTTGGAGCTTATTCCACATCAGTATACATGGAACTGCCTTAATATTTTAAAGGCTACATAGGACCCCATAATTTTGGATGGGCCCTTGTTCATTTAAGCAGCCCTTCCTGATGGATAGACATCCTGGCTGTTTCCAATTCTGGCATCCATAAACCATGCTGCACTAACCCTCACCTTAACCTGTGCATTTACATTCATGCTCAGGTGGGAGTCTCTGTAGGATAGATTCTGAAAGACGGAACTGTCTTGTGGAAGGCACATGTGTGGTATATTTTCATACTGCTACCCAAAAGGCTGTATCAATTTCTACCCTCACCATTGTATACGAAGGATAACAGGTCTGTCTGATTTAATGCTTAGTTAAGGTGGCAAATCTTCAAATCCAGGGACCTGGCTGGGAGATCAAGCCTAAGGTTTCAGGTTTCCAGTCTGCCCCAAGCCAGCCATCTGACCCTGAAGGCACATTGTGCCGGGACTCAGGAAGCCAGGCAGGCTACTTCTCCAGACCTTGGTTTCCTCACCTAAAAATGAGGAGAGCAGCCCGTCATGGTGGCTCATGCCTGTAACTCCAGCACTTTGGGAGGTGGAGGCGAGAGGATTACCTGAGCCCAGGGGTTTGAGACCAGCCCGGGCAACTTGGCGCGACCTCGACACCATAATAAACAAAAAAAATAACTGGGCATGGAAGCATGCACCTGTGGTTCCAGTTACTTGGAAGGCTAAGGTGGAAGGATCATCTGAGCCCAGCAGGTTGAGGCTGTGGTGGCCGTGAGTGTGCCACCGCATTCCAGCCTGGGTGACAGAGAGTCCAACTCAAAAAAAAAAAAAAAATGAGGAGACCTCTCTTGAGCTGGTGATCTAAAAGTTCCTTTTTACCTCTAGTCTTCAAAGTCACTTTACCTCCTCCCCAGACCCCTGTGTCCCTATCTAAAGTGAATCTAAAGTTCCTGTCTTGTTCCTGCCAGGTGACAGCTCAATGAGATGGAGGGTATGGGTGTGCCAGAAAAGTTGGGTGGTCCACCAGGGGAAGGAGTAACAATTAAATGCTTTTGGAATCCCTTGCATACGAGTATTTGGCTAGTCTGAGACTGAAGCAATAGTGTTTGGTGAAGCAGGAAGACTTTGGGACTGTCCAGAGGTAGGAGATGGCTTTCGGGATGTGCTCCTTCTGCCTGAAACATGGCTTACTCTAGGTGGGCCTGGCTAACTCCCCCATTCGCCAAGTCACCATGCTCACTGCCCCTCTGAGACCTTCTGGACATCTCCTGGCAGACTCAGAGGCACTGGCTCCGGATTTCTTGCCTCAGATCCATCACCTTACTAGTAACACCATTTTCCTTTTCGCTTTTTTTCGAGCAGGCGACTTGTTAAATGCTCCTTAGTGGAGTGGGTTCACTCCATTGTGGAAGCCTGTCTGCCAGGGCACACTGCCTCTGGGCTCTCTGAGGGCAGCAGCTGAGTCTAATTCACTTCTAGATCTCCAGGACCTACCAAGGAGCCTGACACACAGCGGGTACCTGTGAGGTGTTTCAAGGTGGAGGGTGTCCCTGGGGCTAGACGTGGCAATGTTCCCTTCCAAGGCATCATGTGGAGGCTGGGACTTTGGGGACTGATTAGGGGACAAGCTCCTTGACATCTCTATGCCTTTCTCCTCCCTGCATCCCCTCCCCTCCTTTGCCAGGGTAGGGTAGACTCCAACAGGCTCTGGTCCAGGGGCTGCAGAACTGTTCATGAACTGGTTTTAGCCAACAGGCCACCAGCTTTGGAATTCTGAAAACCGCCCTCCCCACCCCCTTGTACAGGTGAGAAAACTGGGGCTAGAGGGGAGGCGTTTGTCAGAGTCAACCAGTTAAGATTATAGGCCGGGCTTGGCGGCTCATGCCTGTAACCCTGGCACTTTGGGAGGCCGAGGAGAGAGGACTGCTTGAGCCCAGGAGTGGGAGACCAGCCTGGACAACATAGTGAGACTGTCTTTGAAACAAACAAAAGAGCAGAGCCCAAGTCCCCCCTGCCTCCCCTTCCTTCTCCCCTCCCCCCACCCGTCTCTGCGGTGCGTCCCGCTGTGCAGTCTGCTCCGGATTCTCTGTCTATCCCTGTGTCTCTCGGTCTTTGTCTCTCTCTCACTCCCTCTCGCGTGGCTCTTTTTGATCGTGCGCTTCTCTCAGCCTCTCGGTCGCTCTTCGCCCCTGCACGAGTGCGCTCCTACACGACAGACCGCCCCCGCAGCCGGGGACAGAGACGACCCCACCCGGGCACACCCACCTGCGTCCCCGCCGCCCCCGCCCCCGCCCCCGATTTCCGGAGAAGCCGGCCCCACGGGGCCCGCTGCCGTCAGCGCCCCTTCCCGGCGACCGCGGCCCTCCCCGCTGCCCTCACCCGCGCCGCCGCCTCGCGCGGATATAAGCCGCAGCCCAGTGGAGGAGCGCGCAGCCGACGCCCGGGGTCCACGAGCGCTCCCGGCCTCCCGGCTCGCGCCCCCCGAGTCCCCGGCTCCCGGACCC